TCAAGTTTATGTAGACGATATTATATTCGGTGCTACTAACGAGTCTTTGTGCAAGGAATTCTCAACGTTAATGACAAGTGAATTTGAGATGTCCATGATGGGTGAGCTTACATTCTTTTTGGGACTCCAAGTCAAGCAAATGAAAGATGGCACGTTTATTTGCCAAACCAAATACTGCAAGGAGCTCCTAAAACGATTTGAAATGGAAAACGCCAAAGCAATGGCAACCCCGATGAGCACGTCCGACCACCTAGACAAAGAAAAAAAAGGTAAGGAAGTTGAAGTCAAAAAGTATCGAGGTATGATCGGATCCCTTCTTTATCTTACTGCTAGTAGGCCGGATATCATGTTTAGCGTATGCCTTTGCGCAAGGTATCAATCATGCCCGAAGGAATCACACTTAACGGCGGTGAAACGGATCATGAAATACCTTGTAGGCACGGTTAACGTTGGACTGTGGTATCCTAAAGGCTCTTCGTGTCATCTGGTTGGTTACTCCGACTCGGACTTTGCCGGTTGCAAATTGGACCGTAAAAGTACGAGTGGGACTTGCCACTTACTTGGTAGCTCTTTAGTTTCATGGTTTAGCAAGAAACAAGTCAGTGTTGCATTATCCACAACCGAAGCGGAATATGTAGCCGCCGGTAGTTGTTGTGCTCAAATCCTTTGGATGAAGCAACAACTCGTGGACTATGGCCTTAGTATCAGTCACGTTCCTCTTCGTTGTGACAATACTAGCGCCATTAGCTTAACGAAGAACCCCGTTCTTCATTCAAGGACGAAACACATTGACATTAGGCACCATTTCATTAGAGATCATGTTCTCAAAGGTGATGTCGAAATTGAGTTTGTTGAAACACACAACTAATTAGCCGACATTTTCACAAAACCTTTAGAGAAAGAGTTGTTCTTCCGCATTCGTAGTGAACTCGGAATCCTTGACTCCACGATGATCTAATTTGTGCTTTTTATCATTCTTTTATCTTTGCTTGAATACTTACTAACTTGAGCGTCAGAGGGTTTTCTAACTCTTTTTTGCAGGGACGGTTCGAAGTGAAGAATTCTGGAAATCAGGGGGAACCAGCGATGGGTAGGCCATACCATTGCTGGGTGGGAGGTTTTTTCTTTTTCAGAACTCCTCTTCCCATCGATGGGTGCTTCTTCCCATCGATGGGTAATTGACTCTATTTTTTTTTAAATTCTTAACGGATTTCCAGAAACACCTTACCCATCGATGGGTATTTCATCCCATCGCTGGGTGAAGGACTTTTGTTAAATTTTTCCAGAACCTCCCTACCCATCAATGGGAAATTTCTCCCATCGCTGGGTGTTTGACACTGTTTTTAAAACGTTTTGACGAATTTCCAGTAGCCACCCTCCCATCGATGGGTGTGTTTGACCATCGATGGGATGGCAGCCTTGTTTTTCCCCTTCGCTTTCCAGTCTCGACCTTCCCATCGATGGGAAGTTCCACCCATCGCTGGGAAGCCTACTGCAAACTCAAATTTTTTAACCGTTGGTCACCAAATTTATGGCCCAACAGTCACTTTTTTCAAATTCAAACGGTTTTCTCACCTTTCACTATATATATCCTTCATCTCTACTCATTTTAACACACCTTTTTCACTTCAAAATCTCCTCTATTACATATTTCTTCATCATTTTGCTTCAATCATGGCCGGAGGAAAGAAGACAAAGGCTTCCAAGAAGAAGGGCAACGCCGAAGCTACGACCTCTGCGCCCCAGCCGTTTCCGTACCTGGACGGATCCTTCTTGGAGTTCGGGTCGGAGGAGGAACTCAACCGGTTCCTCACGCACTTTGCCAAGCGTCCCATTTCTCCGCCTAGGGTGCTGCCCGAGTTGTACCCTCAACAAAAGGGGTACCACGACCTCGACAATCAGCCTCAAGCATCGGGTCTGAGGTCGTTCGTCTCCAGGAGTCGCTCGAGCTTCAATCCCGCCTTTGTGCGAGCCTTCTACTCCAATCTCCGCCGGGACGGGGACACCATTCGCAGTAGCATCAATCTCTACGACATAGAGATTGATTTGGCTACCTTCGCTCGGGTCGCAGGGCTGCCCACCCGCGGTGACGACATCGCAACATATGGCGGAGATGATTGGATCCTCAACAACGAGGCGGTGGTCATCCGAGAGCTTGGGATCACCAACCTCATCCGTCACAGCGGCGCACCAACAATCCACTCAGCCTCGCCGGAGAAGCGTCTTCTTCTCTACATCCTCACCCGGATTCTTCGCCCCCGGGACGGTAGCCACACATGTCTCTTCAACGAGGATCTCAAGGCGGTTCATGCTATCACCCACGGCGCCTCGATCAATTGGGCAAAATACGTCATGATTCACATGGCGGAGTGCGCTTCCATCGCCACTGAGCAGAGCTTGCCATACGCCTTCCTCGTCATGGACCTCATCATCTCCGCCGACATCTCCATCGCCGGCCCGGATACGAAGATGACAAAGATTTGGATAATTCAAGACAACACCTTCCGGAAGAAGTCCGGAGACCGGGACGGTGCAGGCCCAAGTCGTGCACCAGCCCCCGCTCCCGCCAAGCCCTCTTTACAATCCATAGCCGATACTCTGAATCGGCTAACCCTCACAGTGGATGGCATGGGGCAGTCAATCGAGCGGATGGACTGGACGCTGCAACGCCAACACCACGACATGACGGCGTTCTTTCGCGGCATCAACTACATCCCGCCGCCCTTTGACAGCACCTTCCTCGACCAAAACTATGAAGGCGAGGATGAGGAGGATAACTCCTATGCTCCATCCTCCTCCCCCGACGAGGCTATTTGAAGATGCGGTCGACGGCGATCCCATGGACGTCGAGGACGACGAGGATGACGACGAGGACGCCGATGCTTAGACTTTTCCTTTCTCTTCTTCCTATGATTGTATTTCTTATTTTTTCCCATTCCGTTGTATTCCGCATTTCCCTTTTTCATGAATAAAAGTTTACTTTTACAATTCTAAAGTTTACTTTTCATTCTTTTTGTTAATGTCAAAAGGGGGAAGATACTAAGGTTATGCATAAATTAAGGGGGAATTTTTTTGTAAAATAGCATCTATTAAGGGGGAACATCTTTTTCAAAATAATCCTCCTATGCATAACCTCGTCTCGTTTGCCATTATCAAAAAGGGGGAAATTGTTGAAACACGGGCTTGTCACGTTTTCGTACTAAAGCCGTGTTCGTTTTTGCAACAGGTTTTGATAATGCCAAACCGCCGTGATCAAGTCGAACATTGAATATACAAGGCGAAGAACGAAGATAAGAGCAAGAGCTAAACGAAGACCAAGAACGAAGACCTTAATCATAGTATTGAGTCGGTCTTTATTGTGATCAAGATCGACCCAATCTTTACACCTTGGCTCTTTAGGCTAAAAACTCTCATCGCATTTCTTACATCATAAAAATGGTTTTAAACTTGTTTAAGTCATTAAAAACACTTGGTGTTCACCCAAACCAAAAACCAAGCCATCCAGTGTTCGGCTCTCAGAAACCAGCGTTCGGCTTTCGGTTGTCGGGTTTGGTTTTTGGCATCCGAACCAACCAAGTGGTTTTCAGCATTTTATGATCT